TGAGGCTTTATACTATGTTTTAATTATATCAGTTCCTATTTTATGGACTTTTAAAAAAGTTTTGTATTTTGTCAAATTCTTTCAGCATCATTGAAGACCATATGATTTTTCCCCTTAGATCTGCTGCTACATTAATAGATTTTTGCCTTCTTGAAGTAAACTACACTGGTTATGAAGTATAATGTGCTGATGGATTATGACTGATAACTTTTTATTTAGGATTTTTATATTGATATTCAGAAGTACAATTGGTCTATAAATTGAGCAATTCATTTTATCTTTGTCAGATTTTAATAACAATGTTATACTGAAAAATACAATATTGAAAATTAAAAAATAATTTTGTGAGTTTAACAGCAAAATGGATACAGCAGAAGGCAGGATTAGTGAACCTGAAGACAGTTCAATAGAAAATACCCAATCTGAAGCACAGAGAGAAACAAAAAAGACTAGAAAAATTTAAAAAGAACAGAAAGCAAAAGCCATGTGGAACACAGTCAAAAGGTCAACATACATGTAACTGGAGTCTCAGGAGTAGAGGAGAGGAAGAATGGGGTAAAAGAATGTTTTAAGAAATAATGACTGTAGGGCCAAGCCCGTGGCACACTTGGGAGAGTGCGGCGCTGGGAGTGCAGCAGCGCTCCTGCCGCGTGTTCGGATCCTATATAGGGATGACCAGCGCTCACTGGCTGAGCGCTGTGCGGCCAGTCTCAAAAAAGGACAAAAAGGGGCTGGCCCGGTGGCGCACTGCTACAGTGCGCCGCTTGGGAGCGCGGTGGCACTCCCGCCAAGGGTTCGGATCCCACATACAGACCGGTTCCCGCTCACTGGCTGAGCGAGGGGTGGGAGCAACACTGAGGGTTGCGATTCCGTTGCCGGTCCCGGTCCGGTACGGGCGCGACACTGAGGGTTGCAGTCCGTTGCCGGACACGAAAAAAGACAAAAAGGAAAAAAAAAAAGAAATCCTCAATAAAATACCAGCAAATCACATTCAGCAGCATATTGAAAGGGTTATACAGGATGACCAATTGGGATTTATTTCTGGAATGCAAGGATGGCTCAACATTCAAATATAGTTCAGAATAATTTTTTTTTCCTTTTTGTCTTTTTTCGTGACCGGCAACCTGAGGGTTGCAATCCGTTGCTGGACACGAAAAAAGACAAAAAGGAAAAAAAAAAAAAGAAATAATGACTGTAAATTTTCCAAAAATGATGCATAACATTAATCCATAGGCTCACAATACTCAGCAAGCGTGTGATGGTACAAATACAAAGAAAACCAAATGTAGGGATGTTATAGCTAAACTTCCAAAAACTTAAGCAAAGAGAACATCATAAAAGTACCCAGAGAAAAAAAGCACATTACCTTAGAGGGAACACTGATAATACTGATAGCAACCATTTCAGCTGAAATTATGAAAGCCAGAAGACAGTAAAATGACGTTATTAAAGTGCTGAAAGAAAACAATGCTAATTTAAAATCCTTTACCATTGTAAGTATCCTTAAAAAGTGAAAACAAAACAAAGACATTTGCAGACAAAAGAACAAAAAGCCAAAAAAACTTCTGTAGGGTTCTTGATAGGCATTGTTCTCACCTTTTTCATATTAAAGATACCATTCTGTTGTTTTTTAGTTTCCATTGTTTCAGTTGAAAAGTCAGGTGTGGGTCCTTTGAAGATAATCCCTCTTTTCTCTCTGGCTACTTTCAGGATTTTCTTTATCTTTAGTTACCTTTAATTTCATTGCAACATATTTAAGTATAAATTTTTTTTGCTGTTTATTCCATTTGACTTTCTTTGGGCTTTTTGAATTGTGAACTGATGGCTTTAATTCTAGAAAATTCTTAGCTATCATCTCTTGAAATATTGTCTTTGCTTCGTTATCTCTTTTTTCCCCTTCTGGGTTTCAAGCTAAACACTTGTAGTTCTCACTCAGTATCCCTTATCTCTTACCCATTCATTGTATATTTTCCATATATTTTTATTTCTTTACACTATCTTTTGTATTTTCTAAACTGTCTTCCATTTCACTAATTTTTAAATGAAAATTAATAAAATTCTCTTATTAAGTATATCCTTTGAGTTTTTTTCTATTGAGATTTTTCTTTTTTAATTTAGGCTATTTTATTTCATTTCTGTAAGTCCTAGAGGGTGGCTTTTTTCAAATATTTTTATATTTTTTTCTGTTCTCTGGATATAGCTTAAATCTCCTCCATTTGTTTCTTTAAACATGCTAAGTATGTGGAGTTTTATTTCTTGGCATGCCTTGTGATGTTTGGCTTTGTGCTTTTTAAAAAATACTGAAAGTTTTGAAACTTTGAATGCAGGTACTTTCCTCTGAAGAGAAATTAGGTGCTTCTTCCAGGTATCTGAAGGCTAACCAGTCATTGACGACCAAATTCAAAGGTTGAAGTTCTCTGCAGGACATAGACAATTCCAGCATGATATTTAACTCTGAACTAGAGCTAATTTACTTTCAGTTTACCCTCAACTTGGAGGCATAGTTTTTTGAGTATCAGCTTATTGTGAAAGGGTTTTTTGGGGGGAGTGGGGAGAAGCTTAAGCCAATTAATATATGAAAAAGTGTTCAACATCATTTATAATTAAGAATATGCAAATTACAAGACCAAGGAGTTTTCACTCTTCAAATTGTTAAATTTCAATCATCGGAAAGTTTAAAAGTTGGCAAGAGTACATACCTTTTTTAGGGAAGGATGTTTATGAAAATACAATTCTTACCCCTAAAGAGCAGGCCTGGATTGAATAAAGGGAAGGTAGGCATTTTAGTTTTGTTGTATGTGCTCTTATAGTACTTAAAATTTTAATAAAAATTGTAAATTTTAGAGTTAAATAACTAGATGCTTACTTTTTCTTTAAACTCTGGGCAAAGACTTTATGAACAAGACCCTAAAAGAACAGGCAACAAAAGAAAAAATAAACAAATACAATTATGTCAAACTAAAAAGCTTCTGCACAGCAAAAGAAACAGTAAAGAGCGAAAAGACAACCTACAGAATGGGAGAAAATATTCACAAACTATGCATCCAACAAGAGATTAATATTCAGAATATGTAAGGAATTCAAACAACTTAACAGTGAAAAAACAAGTAACCCGATTAAAAAAAGGGCAAAGGAACTGAATGGGCATTTCTCAAAGGAAGACATACAAATGGCAAACAAACACATGAAAAAAATGCTCAACATCACTCAGCATCAGGGAAATGCAAAGCAAAACCACACTGAGGTACCATCTCATGCCAGTTAGACTTGCCAGTATCAAAAAGACGGAGAAAAACAAATGCTGGTGAGGATGTGGAGAAAGGGGAACCCTCCTACACTGTTGGTGGGACTGTAAGTTAGTGCAGCCATTATGGAAAGTGGCATGGAAGTTCCTCAAACAGATAGAACTACCATACAATCCAGCAATCCCACTTCTGGGTATATACCCAGAGGAATGGAAATCACCGTGTCAAAGGGATACCTGCATTCCCATGTTTATCACAGCTCTATTTACAATAGCTAAGAGTTGGAACCAACCTAAAAGTCCATCAATGGGTGACCGAATAAGGAAAATGTGGTATATATATATATATATGCAATGGAATGCTGCTTTGCCATACAAAGGAATGAAATTCTGCCATTTGCAGCATCATGGATGAGCTTGGAGAAAACTACATTATGGGAAATAAGCCAGGCACAGATAGAGAAATACCACATGTCCTAATGCAGAAGTGGGAGCTGAAGAAACAAAACAAAACCAAGAAAGAAAGATACAACAATCACAATAATTAGTTGAACTCTTAAAAGGAGAGAACGGAACTGAGAACATCAGAGGTGGGCACGGGAGGGGGGTCGGTTAAGGAGAAATTGGTAAAGGGACTTAAAACATGTTTACACTGTGTAATGGTAAAATTTTTAAAATATATATATATATATATAAACTTTGGGAAAAGTTTTGCTGTATCCAAAGTGATAAAGCCTAAAAGAACATTTAAAGTGTGCAAAGCATTGTCAATTTACTAAGTGGCTGTTTGATTCATACAATAGTGAATGGAGCAGAAATGTCTGCTAAAAAAATAAGACACAAGTAATTATGCTTTCTGGGTTCTGGTTAAAACTTTAGCAGCACAGAGCAACAAAAAATTTACATTTAAGTATTTCTTTTCTCTATTTTGAGTGATGTACCTGTTGTGACATTGCAGAGATCAAATAGAATAGGTTTATGTCTTCTTGAAAGCCCAGGGCCCCACTTATACACCTAGTATCAATGTGATTGGTGCATCTTGAATGAAGTCAGGAACTTAAATTGCTATGCTGAATAAAGGTGTTCCTAAAATTTTTAATTTTTTTATTTTAAATACAGTTTTTGTCTATTTTTGTTTTCTTTCTATATAACCACTACCTAGACATGGCAGGTGTGTGTGTGCATATGTGTGTGTTTTGTTTTTGCTTTGTTTTAATTGTTGTTGTTTAGGGATGTGGTTCTTTTTAAATAGTCAGTTTTCTATTTCTGAGGTTATTGAGTCTTCCTTCCTGATCCCCGCTCTTGATTAAACTTAAATCCTCTCATGCTGAGCAGTTCTTCCCAGGTACACTTGATACAATCATTTTAAGAATTAGAAATCCAGTTCAGCCATGGGCTAATAATGAGGCATATGGTTGTAATTCTAGAACTCAGTTGCCCTCCTGGTCAGGCTGCAGGATTGGAAACTTAAGTAGTTTTAAGAAGAAAAAGTATTAGGGCACCCACCACAACGATTTATATTTTATGTATTGCTTACAATGGCCAAGCAAGATTTTGACTTTGTGTAACTGCACCAAGCACAGTATTTAAGTTTTCTAATCATGTCTGATCCCTGGAATGACTGGCAGTGGGAGGGGAGGTAGTAAAATGCCTAATGCTTGTGCCATATTTCCTAACTTCAGCTTGGAAAAAAGTAGCCCAGGAGTGTCATTCTAGAATAAATCTTAAAGTGTTTTTGTACTTTGTTAATTCCTAGGTGAAAAAGTGTTCATATCTCTCTATGGAGCTGCCGTAGACGTGAATATAAGGCTGGACAAGAATTCCTTGATCATTGAGAAAACCTACATATCTCTGGCCAATCAGCGAACTGTAACCATTCACAACCGCAGTAACATTATCGCTCATTTCCAGTGGAAGATATTTGCTACCCAGGAAGAGGAGGACAGAGAAAAGTTTGGGTTTGTAACAAAAATCATCTGTATTCAATATAGGTATAAAAACTGCATATAGTTTTTGTAAACTATATAATAGTGAATAGTGAAGAATGATATATTTGGTCTTTAAAATCTAGGGACGGTGGGGGACAAAGGCTTTTGCCACACCCCTTTGACATCTGCAGCCTGCCAGGCAATGACCAAGCTACTGCTAGGAAGCCCCCCGTGTCCCCTGTGGGAATGAGGGGGTGCCACAGGCCTCAATCCTCCCCTCCTCTTTCCTCCTTCTTCCATCCCAATTCCTTCCTCTTTCCCATCTCCCTCTTCGTCCGAACTGCTCCGCAACAACATCCTAGAATGTAAAAAATAATATTAATAAAATTAAATTTTCTTTTAAATAAATAAATAAATGTAGATAAATAAATTTAAAAAAAATAAATAGTCTGAGCTGAGCTATGTGGGACAGAATGTCGTCCGTCCTCAGTTAATCTTAACCTGGTTATAATTTAGCAATAGTGGAACGCCTAGATTTTAAAGACCAAATATATCATTCCTCACTATTCTTTCAAAACTAATCTACATGTCTGTATTTCTTTTCATAACCCTAACCAGGTCAATCAACTTTCAGTAAGAGCTCCTAAAAATAATCTATTTCAGATTCATATCAGTGTAAATTTTTTTTTTTTTTTGGTGAGCAGATATTTCCAGAAAATATGAAGAATGAGGAAAAAGCAGGACTTAGTTATACCAGGTTTTATATATCAGTTTTAGTAGCATTGCTCGATCCCTGCAAACCTACAATTTAATAATGGTTTTTCTTGGTATCTTTAACATTCTGCTTTTTAAAATGATACTTCAGGCAATGGAGAAAATTAATGAAACGTAAGACCAAGCTGTTTTAACTAATCTCATCACTGTTAAATTTTGAATATTTCTTTTTACTGAGTCGGTCCTTGCCTCTTTTAAACTTCCATTTTCATTCTTATCTCCTCCCAGCCTCCCTGAATTAACACTTTCTGCTGCTTTCATTGGAATTTATTTCAGCCTTTTTATTTGCCTCTCCATTTTCATTAAAGATTAGCCCTGAGAAGCTTCAAAGCTTTGTTTAAAACCAAGTTAGTATGTGATAAAAATAAAAGCCTTAGGTCCATAGAAACCGGCAGAAGTCTCCAGGTGTGCTGTCCCTAATTGAATCAGAAGGAGCTATGACAATGACAGGACACAGTGGGCCAGGAGCTCTGTCCATCAGACAATGAGCTTTAATCACTGGATCGCCACTGTGCCATCTTTAAAAAGTGAGAAAAGAACTTTCCTGCCTAAAACTTTCACCTGGCCCCATGCTTAGGAGTACCAGTGGTTAAAAAAGGCAAGAGAACACTGCTCATTTGTCCTGAATCCCCAGCTGCTGTGCACTTCCCAGCAATCAGAGTGGCCCAAGCATGTTTAAAAATAAAGTGAGAGAGTAGGTACAAATGAAGAAAGGGAAACAGCAGTGACAGTGGCGTTTGGATAACATGCTTGTCCTGTGGACGTAACTGGTTTGGGGAAAGTGAGTACACACTGTGAGACGGAAAGCCAGCTCCAGCTTCAGCCGTGTCTGTGTTTGTACATATAGTGTGTGATTAATGCCATGCCAGTGTCCAGACAGTGTTTAAGTAAATTGATTTCAACAGAAACTCAAGAAAAATTAAAACCACTTGTCAGACATGCTAGACTATAAAGAAAATCATTTCAACCACACATGGACGGGCATTTCTTTTCTTTTCTTTTTTTTTTTTCCGCCTTCACCTCCCAACCACTCTCACCCCATCTCTTTAATATTGACTCTGACTCTCGTCCTTCCTTTCCTCTTTTATTTTCTTTAACTATCTCTCTTGCTCTTTCTATTATTTCTTCAAGGGGACAGTTTAGGATGGCATTTTAATAACCATGATTGGAAGCCTAATTTCATCATCTAGGATTATGCTCCTCTCTTAAACGATGAACTTGAAAAGTGACTTCAGATGGCTAAGTAAGAATACCATCACTTTCACTTCGAGTGACAGATAGCAACGTGACTCATGTTTCTCCAAACTGGGTTGGTTTAGCTAAGTAAAGAGTCTGCTGGATGTGCTGCCCCTTGCTCTCCTCCTCCCCCTCCCCTGAGTGCCAGGTGCCTAGGGCAGGAGGGGAAACTGATGCCATTTTTGCCTGATCTCTTATTTGACTAGGGCAGCTCTTCTCTCTCGTCCTCTCTTGCTCCTTGATATCCCCAAGCCTACCACGACTCTCATATTCATAGCCATGAATTCTTGTTCTTGAAACATCCTCTTGAAAAGTTAGGCAAGGACAGAGATGTTTGCAATTTATTAAGCATTTGGTTCCTGTCTCTGGATAGCTGCCCCTCTGTGGGAGGCAGTGCTCTTGCTGTGTGGGTGTAGACTCCTTCCTCCTCCATGTCACAGATTCTCAGGTTGTGTCCCGGGGTACAAATCATTGACAGATAAAGCAGAATATTCTTTGACAGCTTGCCCATCTCTGAAAAGCAGCGGCAAGATCTTTAGCTAGTGGGATGTATTCTCTCTTGAGCTCCCCAGCAAGGCCTGCTCGAGTATCTCTAAATCTGTTTTGTTTTGTTTTGTTTTCAATATATATGCTTTTTTTTCTTTTCTTTTGCTTTTTTATTACAAAATTGGGATTACAGTACACATTACATTTTGTAACCTGCTTTTTCACTTTCAAATATTTCAGACACTTGAAAATGCTGTTGAATATTCCTCTTTAATCCCATTTAATAGCTGCTTATTATTCCATTGAGACAGATGCTTTGTAGGAGGCAGTGTAGCATATTGGCTAGTGCTCGCTGATCGAAACTGCAAAAAACCCAGCTAGAAGTCCAGGCTCCATATTTCAGCTCTGTGACCTGGGACAAGTTACTTAACCTTTCTGAGCCTCAGTTTCATCATCTACAAAATGAAAATGATGACAGTGACAATGACCTCATATAGTGGTTATGAGTTTTAAATGACGCGATGCATGTGAAGGGTTTGGCAAGTACCCGATAAATGTAATGTTTATGATTTCCATTTTTGTTTAACCAACCTTCATTATCTTACATCAAATTTACCCACTTTATCTGTATCATTCCAGCACTTTAATGAACATTTTTGTGGTTGTGTCTTTGTTTACATCCATGGTAGTTTTTCAGGATTTATTCCTGCAAGTGAAATTTATTGTTTCAAAGGGTGGATAATTGATAAGTCTTTCAGATAGGTATCGCATAACAAAATGAAAAAGAAATGGATTCCTTTCTTTCTGCGGGCTGAGCTGTATTTAATTTGCCCCGCTGTGCCCGACGGTATAGAAGAGCTGCTGCTGGTTGCCTTGGACACTGCTTCCTACCTAGTGATAAAAGTCAAGCACAGAATGCCTTCTTCCTTGGAAATGGAACACACTGAACCCATTTCTTTGACTTCTTTGTGCTATGCAACCGAAGGACCCTGAACACTCAAGTTATTAAAAAGAGCTATTTGACAATACTGAGCATATGGTTTGCATGAAGTCATTTAGAAAATAGTTGGGTCTGGGACAGGCATTCAGTGACCCCGGGCTCTCACTAAGCACTCACATTGCTCAATAATTTGTCTCTTACCACTGGTGATACCAGTACAGTGCTGGGAATATGGTCATACGTCCTGGGAGGAGATAAAATTCAGTCTGCAAAGTTCAGGAGCAATGTGAACCCAGCTCCAGTGAGGGCAATGCATGGAGGGTTAGAGAAGGCTATTTTTCTGACTTGTTATGATGGATATAAAAATCTAGAAAGAGAGAGAAAAAGGAGTGTCTTTAGGTGTAGCTGGAACATTTTATAAGTTTGACGCTTGGTAATTGCCTTGGTTAACACAGGGAGAAAGTGTGTTTATGGAGTGCCTGCTTTGTTCCAGGGACTGCACCAGGGCCTTGATCACATTTAACCCTCAACATAGGAGTAGCTTCTATTATCTCTACAGGGGAAGGCTCTGAGACTTAGAGCAATTGGGCAACTCCCAGAGTCACAGAGCTAGTAAATAGATTGTAGAATCAGTATCCAAACCTGGTCCTTGGTGGCTCCAGATTCTAATCTCTAGGTAACTAACATCTAAGAAAGAATTGCAGCTAAGCAAGTTTACAAGGGACAAAATCATCCTTGCAGTGTGAGAGGCAGGATAGATGTTCAGTATTTAAAAAGCAGCCTGGAGAACATAATTATCTAAAAGAAAATATTTGTCCCTATATATAAGGGCTCAGGAGTTAACTAACAAATGAGCACTGAGTAGGAGAGAAATCCAGGGAGGACTTCTTGAAGGAGGTGACCAAAGATGAGCGAGCTGAGGCTCTGAGAGGTCTGAGGACTGAGTACAAGGGTCACGCACCTAGTATGTTACAGACTCAGGGCAAGGAGGGACCACCCCAGGTCAATGGGTGAGGACATTTCCAGGAAGATGAACTGGAGGGGAGCCCCTTTACAAAGTTCTTCATGGGAACATCAAAGGGAATCTCACATGTCCTGTATTTCCTTTAGGGTCTGTGATGATCTGAACAAAGAGGAAAAGAACGAGACTGATTCGTTCCTTGAAGAGTGCATTCTTGATCCTTCACTCCGAGAACGTCTTGCCATTCTCTCCCGCACATTTGAGAATCAGAGGAGGCTGGTTCAGGGAGACAGCATGCTCTTCTTGAATAACATTTTCACCATTGAGCCCCTGGTGAGCACGTAAATAAAATCTGACATACAGTCAGCATAAGTGGGAATGTGGGGCTTGTTTTGATGAAAGTTTGCACTCTGGGGTTGATATCGTGAATTCTGAGAAAGTAAAGGTTTCTTCTAACAAGTCTCATGATCATGAGGAGACACTGGGTGAAGGTTAATGGTAAGCATGCTCGTAGGTCACGTTTATATAGGCCACACTTTCTATGCAACAGTCAGTGTGTTAAACATTTCGTGTGGCTTACCTCATTTGTCTATATATATTATCTTAAAACAACCCTGCAAGATGTAATTAGAACCCCATTCTACAGATGAGGAAATTAAGACTTAGAGAAATTCCATCACTTGCTCTGGGCCAAACAGCTAGTGTTAGAAGTTAGGAACTCATCCCTTATTAGCCTGACTATAGAGCAGGTTTTCTCATCCTCAGCATTGTTGACATTTGTGGCTGGATAATTCTTTGTCCTGTGCATTGTAGGATGTTTAATAGCATCCCTTACTTTTACCTGCTAGATGCTAGTGTGATATTCAAATTTGTTTCCAGACACTGCCAAATGTCCCCTGGTAGGCAAAATCACCTGGGTTGAGAACTGCTTTGTCCTTAATTCACTCAATAAATAGTTAATGGCTGCATGTTCTGTACTGCTACTGCGTGTGTACCAGGCATTGACAAAAGAAACGGACATCTTCCTCACCCTCACGGTCTGCCTAATGAGAGGTGCTCCAGAGTTACAATGGGCTCTGTCTGATTCCACAGACTAAACTCCTAACCACTCTGCCCTTCTGCCTCAAAATGGAAGTGGCTGGCAGCTTTTGTATTTAGTTTTTGCTGGGCACTGGGCTAGGAGCATTCTGTGCATTTCCTCACCTTTAGCAGGCATACAGTGGTGTGAGGATAAACACAGCAATAGGAGTTAAGAAAGTCCACAGCTAGTTAGAGCTGCCAATTTGCTGCCATTTAAACCAGTTGGAGAAAAGACATGGGCACAAGGGCACATTAGAATACAAGGTCACCTGTGGGAAATGCCACTAATTTATATAGACCTGTTTTCTTTACATCTGGACTTCTAAATTGTTATTAAAGGATATAACATGGAAAGGGGGTTCCATTGCAAAATAAGTTTGAGGAACACTGGGTTCAGTGTTCTTTTCTGTAAGACCTTAATATGCTAATGTGTGTTAAAGATCTCCAAGAGAGAGCTTTCCCCTTGGAGACATCCTCTGGGACTAATGGTTTGTGGGACCCACTGCATGAGTCTCTGGTGAAGACAGTAAGAACACAAGTTCAGAGGCCAAAGTGATTATCACAGGTAAGAAGTTAGAGAAAACTTCATGGGAGGAGCTGGGTCTTGCAGGATCAGACTTTTGGAGAACAAAATTGTGTGTGTAGCACAGATCATCCAGGGCTCCGTGAGTAGACCCATGTGTTTGAAGTGAAGGGTCATGCAGGAAAATGAGGTGGGAGATGTAGTTTGAACCCCAATCTTCTATCACGTCAAAAGACTCTCCAGGGCTCAGCTGAGCAAAAGGATCTCCAGACATAATGGGTTAGACCAGCAAGAGGTTAAATAAAGATGAGAACCAAAGGTGAAAATAGGTGAAGCCCAGAGGTACTGAGAAGGTCAGGAAGGAATTACTGGTGCAAGCAAGTGGCTGAGCCTGGCCGAGGTGGGGAAGAGCAGCCAGTCCTGGCAATGACTCCTAGACAGACTGGTAAGGTCTACACAGTCCAAGATTCTTCCCCACTGGTTCTGGAGGCCCAGACCAATGATTCCTTGTCCTGTTTTTCGTTGCCTTCTGGGAGTGGACAGCCCTGGGATCACAGACTTGGTGGTCAGGAGGTGGTGGGTGGTACACCCACAGGTGAGCTCTGCCCATTTGTAATTCAGAAGGACGAAGGCTAAAATTACCTCAATTTTCTTCTCACACTTCCTTCCATAACCCAAAGCTTCATGATGGAGATATATGCATGTTAAAATATGGTATTTAATGTGATTGCTTTTAAATCCCAGATAGGAACTGAATTGGCATTCTTATCACAAGACATCTTTTCTCCATCAGGAAGAAAAACATTTTCTTATAGTAATACAGAAAAATGGTACTTTTTAAGTAAACAAGACTAATTTGTTTATATTGCACAGAAAAATATTACCAAAAATAGGAAGGGAGTAATATTCACTTCTAGTACAGCTATACTTCATGCTATCTGTAATGATTTTGTCTTTTTGTATACTATTCAGTTTTTCTTCTCATAATAATATTCATTAGCTGGTTCTTGACAGTTTTGGCAAAATAAAAATGAAGGCATGAAACCTTCTTAGTGTCCTCCTAAAATTATTCTGGTCAAAACATCAGAGCTCAGTGTCAGTTATGGTGAATTATTTATTGATGTTGAATCTCCTTTTTTTTCCTACTTAAAGATCTTGATAATTTTATATAAATGCAGTTCTTGTTCGTGAGTGTCATATAATCTTACTTGTAAATTACTTTTGAAGATATTTTATAGGAAAATTCTGGCATTTCACTAGCTTCTTGACACATGGTGTTTTTTGCTGTTGAGATTTTAGTTTTCTGATACAGGTAAATAAATGCTACAGTAGAGTAGGGAGTTGAGAAAGGATTTATAGAAGACCTGAATATTGTAGGGAGGGTCAGATTTAATTAAGTGGAAAGGGAAGAGGAGAGTGTTTCTACTTGTAGAAATTAGGAAAACAAAAAAAGGAAACTTTTGGGTTCATAGCATGTTAAATAACAGTGAATAGACCAATTTTTCTGGTTGGGAAGGAGAGCGGAAGACAGCTGGACTGCCCTAGAACCTGCTGTGTTTTAGCCCACAGCCTGCTGGGTCTGAGAGGTGGGAATGTGTGTTCCTTGCAAAGAGAGAGTTTTGGGGTCAGATAACTTTGGGAAATACTGGTTCAAGAGAAGGGCATTCTCTCATGGTAGAGTGCAACCCCCACTTCCCTGTGACCACAGACCCCCTCTCCCACAGGGCACCTACCAGAATTCTGCAGATCCCAGGTTGGCAAATGGTGCTGAGGGTATTTGAGACCCACTGCAGGGTTCAGAGGAGAAGCATGACATGTCCAGGGGGGTTTAGAAAGATTGGAGGAGGGGGACAGAGGGTGAGATGGGGGGTGCAGGTCAGGCGGGGAAAACGCCCAGTGCGGGAAGGTTCAGGGGGACTAGACATCTCTGCAGGCAAGTTCAGGGTGAAGTGTGAGGGTGATGCCAGCCTGAAACAGCCTGGTGGTAGTCGGAAAGGAAAGCAAATGGCAGATGTGAGAGGTGTTCAAAAGGAAGACACTAAACTGCTTTTTGATTGACTGGCCATGGAGGGCGAGACATTGTGAGGAATCACGTGCTTCCTCAGATCTGAACTGGAGAGACTGGAGAATTATGATGTCCTTGGTAGAAATAAGCAAGTCAGGAGTCCTTGGTTTAACTCCTAGCTCTGCCAATAGCAAATGTGACCTTAAAACAAGCTATTTGATCTCCCTTGGTTTTGGTTGCTTTCTACACAACTAAGGGTATTGCAGGTAGGTCACTTTGATCCTTTCAACTCATAAATTCTGACTCTGATTTGGGATCAGACTCTGAGTTCCTTAAGGTCAAGGAATGCCTTATCCTCATCTGTGTCCAACACCTCTCCCAGTGCCAATGGGTGAACAAATGAACGAACTAATGAACAAAGGTAAATCAATCAATGATGATGAGCTTGGCTCTGAACATGTTGAATTTGAGATGACTATAGATGTCCAAAAAGTTTTAGAAGTGCAGGACAAAAATTTGGGGGAGGGGATTCAGGACTGAAGGCAAGACTTGTGAATGACCTATACAGGTCTTAGTTGAAGTCTTGAAAAATGGGTGGAAATTCTAAGAGCAGAGCAAAAAAGGAAATTTGCAGAGGGCCCAAGAGGGCCTCCAGGCGCTTGTCCCTAGAGGCCCTGTGAAGACAGGAGCAGCTGTGGCTTCCCAGAGCAGGGCACGGGGCCAGCTGAGAGCCTGCCAGGGTCTGCATCTCTCTCTGCAGCCATCGTGCCTGGGTCAGCACCGTCTTCTACTAAGGGTCTCTTCTGAATCTTGCTCATGCCAGCTATGCCAAATGGCACTACTTAATTTCTGACACCTGAACTATGCATCAGCGATTAGTTTTTTTCTTAAGATTCCTTTCAATTAGCTTCTTGATATGAATTAAGTTAATAGTAGAAGCAGAGAAGATTAGAACCAAGCAGTGTCACCTTCTGATCTACTAATCAATCTCTAACTGATATCCTGTTCAAAAAATAAAAATAAAAGGTTGATGCAGAGGCTTAGAGACCATGACCAATAGTCTTATGGACTCTAGCCTCTGTGTCCACTGAGGAAAGAACATTGTCTTCAAATAGGGTAAAGATAAAAAGAAAAACAAAAGAACAGGAAAACTGTGACCTTAGGGTCTGAAAAGAAATAAGAAATACATGCTTATTTTCTCAGACCTATGTCTGTATAGCTTGGTTCTTCAAATGGATTAGGTGAAACAAAAGTTTGTTTAGCCCTGATTCTGTTCTCTGCATATTGAGTATTTTATGGTAATACTCAGTACTATACTCCTGATACTCCTGTTTCAGATGCTCTTTTAATTTAAAGCAAAGAAATTGAAGCTGGAGAGATCAATGCTGTCCGTAAATTGCCCAGCAGTGGTGATGGGTTTGAATTTAAATCAAATGTTATTGATGTTATCATGTGAGAAGTAGCTTGACTCAATGCTCTAAGACCCAAAACTCTAGAACTGCAAGTTCCTCCTCTGTCCTACCACCTGTTCACCATTTGCCCTCGGGTCACTGCCATTGTCTTAGCTCACTTTCTTATCTCACTGGCCACAGACATGGTTTTGACCTTGAGGAGCTAGGCCCAGGCGTCTTGGGTACTGATGTGGCCGCAGAGCACCAGGCCTGCTAGTTTACCTCATTTCCTTGTGATCGGACAGAGGGAGGCCGGCAGCTGCTCCACTGGCAC